ATATTAAAATTTTACTGTTTAAGAAATACTGCAGTTTTTTCCTCCTTCCAATAAAAAATCCTAAGTGCCTTAAAGACAATAAACCTATAAAATAGGCTCCCAGACTGTGCTTTTCACCTGTAAATTACGCTGTCTTCTCTAGACCCCCAAACTCAGAAAGCACACTAGCATTAAGAGGACCACATATCTCAGCTTTAAACACAGTAAATGGTTTGCATTTTAACATAGTCACCAAATGAGCAAAACTGACATTCTAGAATATGCATTCTAGATAACCCATATTAAGGACATCCCCAAATCCCCATAAATATACCCAACTCAAGGCTACACATCTCCTTTTTCTCTCAGGGGCCCACATTCTATTTTTCTGAATCTGTACCTTTAAAATTCTGCCTAATAAACAGCTTTATGCATTTTATTGACATGTTCTAAAAACTCATTTTCTGTGATGTCAGCAAACCTGCTGAGTGGGTGAGTGAAGTTTTCCCATCTCCACTTTGTGGGAACCTCCTAGGACCCTGTCTAGTGATATAGCCCAAAAACTTCCTCCAAGAGGGTTCAGGGAGTATGGTCCATAGGAAGGCAAATATTGTGATCAGAATTTTACTGATATAGTAAAGTTTAATCTGGCTGTTGTGTGAAGAATGGATATAAAAAAGGCAAGAGAGGAAACAGCCAGAGCAGTAGGACACTTTTGCATCAGGTCCACTGAGAGATAACGGTAGCCAAGCCTAGAGAGCAGCCACAAGAGAATGAATTCTAGAGTTTGGGAGGTAGAAATAACAGATTGTACTGAAAATGAGTCATTAGGCCTCCATCTCCTGGCATCATATGTGCATCTCTATTGTATTTTGTTCTGTGATGCTGACATGGGCACTCAGTAAGCTTCAAGTAAACCTCCACCTGCACCAGTGCCACTGGCCTCAGAAGCCACAAGGCAAAGCAGGAAGAGACACCTTCTCATTCCTATGTTTGTTGATCCTATCAGCATCATCCCAGCAATAGCCCTTTATCCTAGAAACAGCAACTACTCCAGCTTCATTCCCACACTTCCAGAACCAGCCCTCTGTTACCCTTCAGAGGCAGCAGAACCAGCTGTCTTTCTCCTCCAACCCACCTTCATGTAGTCTTTCCCATGAGAGAGTAGGTTCCAGCAGCAGCTAGAAAATGGCCTCTCAAGGCTTGAGTTTCACAATCTTGAACCCTTTTCTCAATTTTAATAACACTAGCCTCTGGTCTTTGTTCATTCAAAGGGGTGGTAGCTGCTACTGTAGTTATCTCTGTTACTTCAATACTCTGCTTTTGAGTCCTCCACTATCTACTGAACAAATTCCTTACATTAAGTGTGCCCTGATTAAATAACTAGTATGGTTTTCTTTGTTGGACCCTAAGTGTCCTCTGGAAGTGATTAAGAGCTAGTAGTGATAGGGCCAGGGATTTAGCTCAGTGGTTCCGGC